ACGGCGAGTGGGCATATGTTGGACAAGTTGGCTTTTATTCTGATCCATCAGCAAGCGTCAGTGATCTGGCAACCTGGAGGCCTGCCGTACAAGACAGTGAATCCGATTTAAGTCAATCGAAATATTCGAAAGTGAGATTGGTCAGTCTCACTCCGTGTGGATGGCAGTTGAGGGAGAAATCAGTTTTGAAATCCGATAAGCCCAACCGTAGTAGATTGGTGAAGCCAGGTTGTATCCACTACTACATATAATTGCGCACCGACAGGTTCAATTTGCCAAATGTGAAACAAAATTCTGCAGGCAAAACGCAATGATGGTGTCACAAAAATATTCGACAGCTATGGAGAATTAAAAACGGAAGGTGCAACTAACTGGTGTATGACATGACTGCCGTCAATCGGACTGCACAATAGTTCGGTCAGAAGAGACCTCTTGTGATGAGAAATAGGTGTGGTATGGAAGGCCAAGGACACAGCTTGATGCCAGTCATACTGTATCCGAAGCTGAAAGTTGGCGATGATTAGTATGAAAAGTGTGCAAAAGCGCCGGATCTGGGACTGAGCTTGTAAGTTCTATTTAGGAGTAGCGATTGCCAGTAATCTACGAATCAGCCCAAGCCACTAGCCGACGATCTCCTGCCGTCTCATTATGTCCATACTTTCATCTCATCTGTCTAATTGTGTTCGAGTTGACATCGACTGGTTTATTGACACAGTGCGTGTGACTGTATACCTCCTCGTCGAGCACTGACTTTTTTACAGTTGGCTCTAACAAGTATTCTACATTAAGCAAGTCTTCCTGTCCTGAAATGACACCTAATGCTGACTTCACATCATGGCATAGTGACATTAGGCGTACTCGCGAGAACAAGGTGACAATCAGGGTTGGTGAGAGTGGGTTTGTAGTTATTAAATAAAATGAAACATCCCAACTTGATGCCAACCCACTACCACCACACGATCCAACGCCGTTTAGGCTCACCTGCTCACTGTATCTCTACACTGCTGATTGCATTCGGATGTGAATGGTCGCTGTCATCGTATGGAATTGCAAAAGCATGCCACACGCGCTCAGCCTATGCAAACCACTAAATTGGCATATTGGGCAAAATCCTTAGACTGGCAAATATGCCTGCACGACACCTAATTAGAAGTTAAACAGGGACAATTTGATGTTTTGTTTGCATTATTTTATTTACTGTTCACTGACTACTTACTCAGTTGGAGTATGCGGTTAAGCGTAAGACCAGTTCACCAATCCATGCAGTTCGGTGGTTTAATTGCCATTTTTCTATGCTGCTTACTTTTGAGATATCTATGCACTGTCCGTGTATACACAAGTCACCGTCATAAGTAGGCATTATACGTAGTTTTTTAACTGATCCTCTGTTAACTAAATATTCCTTTAAAATGACTTCTGGCCATACCAACAACCTGGAATTCCACATTTTCATGCCATGTCGCAAAACGTCATGCAACTTCAACACAGAAGAAAAATTTCGCTAAGAGGCGTGATTGGTGCAGATCTATTCGTGTGACTTAACGCTGATAACTCTCAAACAAAGTAAACGCTAAATGAGATTGGGTGGACCTAACATTATATTTACGAATAAGGTCTAGATCTTCTGCGGTTTGCGACAGTCGTCTTTGGGCGGCGGTTAGTTATTGCTTGAACTTACACGTGATATGTGCGATTTGCATGCATTAAGTTGGTAGATATCGGATGGGGTGGATTACATGGGGAACCAAATTTACCGTAACAGGCCGAGTGTACCAGCACACATTCGCCCCCTCCTTCGCACCTTCATCAGCCACCTGTGATTCTTGTTTTGAGAATTAGTTTGTTCTTGACTAATTAAAGACGATGGTGCATGGAGTGGTTGTTTGCCAACGGGTGGACATCAGAAAAGCAAGAGGAAACAAATTAACGATGGCGTGAAAATGCATTAGGGTGGAGATGTCATCTGGCGTATGTATCAATTGAGCAAGTTTGTCAAGAAGCCTTGGCACATTTCGTCATTCTTCATCAACACAGTGATAAAGTCTTGACTAGGAGTGGTTAAATGGATGACGACAGGCCTTCGGTCGACTCGTGGCACTGTTGGTCGATGCATCAGTTCTCGCTTACTCCGTCTCAGACCTGGATGCGTTTAATGAATAAACAGCTTCCCTGCAATCAAAACCTAGACACGTAAGAGGCATGAGAGATAGACCTGTTTTATTGCACAATTAAACATACCTCTTGTTGTCAACTGTCGGCTATTTAGAGGGCCTGAATGTCGTCATACACTTTAACCAAACATGTTTACTACTTTTTATGTAGTAGCAGCTAAATTAAGAAAAACGAAGCGCAAATCACAACTTTAATAAGCATCCAATGTAATTACCAACATAATTATTTGTGTTACTTGTTCCATCAAACATTTTACCTTTATTTTCTAATCTTTTGTTGCTTTTCACGGATAGATGATTCTTGGACTCAAGCTTGATGAGATGTAAATCTAGCAAAACTCAGATAAAATGAAAAGTTCAAAAGCGGCAAGAAAATTTGAGTTGAGCAGCACTATGAGTACGAAGATATTGCGACTTCGCATATAACACCGAGGCTTGGATGGTGTACATCGGTTAAGGAATGCTAAATTTTTAAATTATTGATAAAATAATAATCTCATTTCATGAAGATGCACGAAAATAAAAACGATTAGCTAAAATATTAACGGACAATTTAGGAGCAAAACAAGAAAAAATTGACGATGGTGTGAATATGCATTGGAGTGGGGGATGTCATCTGGCAGATGCATCGATTGTACAAGTTTGTCAGGAAGCCTTGGAACATTTCGTTAATATTCATCAACACAGTGATAAAGGCTTGAATGGGAGTGGTCAAGTGGATAACGACAGGCCTTCGGTCGACTAGGACACTGTTGATCGATGGATCAGTTCTCGCTTTCTCCATCTCAGACACAATTGCCTCTAGTGAATGAACAGGTTTTGTGCTATCAAAACCTGAACGGATTTACAGCACCACGAGGTGACTTGGCCTTGCTATAGCGCGTTTGTGATCACATATGATATATATAGAACTAGTAGCAGTAGTGTTAGTGGTGACATCCAGGTCATAGTAAAAGGACTGACTGTGCAGGAGACTTGATCTTTCATTTGGTAGACATGGTAAGTTAAAGAAGCGCAAGTTGGTGAAGTTTGCTCAAAGAGAACACGGATGATACTGCTGCTGTTGCTAAGGGACTGTAGCATTTTATGTGAAGAATGGGCTCCTAGAGTAATTGAGCAGGCTGCAGTCTTTGTCCCATATTATAGCTTACCGAATTTTGCCGAGACAGAATTCAAATGCGTTTATCAATGTGCGCGTGTTGATATCGGCGGTTGTTAGGGGCGTAGCAGCGACGCCTACCATCCAAATATCGCACAACCTCATGTTTTATGCCACTATACCGATTTAGCCAAACCTCGGTGTCTTCTATGATCAGTCGTTGGCCACATAAACACAACTTATAATTTGTGTGCCACCACGAACCAGCGCTTACGAGAGGACATCACCGTGAATGTCGAAGCACCACAGAGTGCTACAATCTACTTACCGCCACCTCCGCTCTCATGGCCCCCTTCTCATCCTTCTCTCCCTATGCTACTTCCAGGCCATTCCTTCTGCGCAATTGCAGAGACGCTTATCGTCACACATCCATCCACTCAAGCGTTCTATCTCATTGGGCACCTCAAATCTTAAATACCCACCCTTGTTTCAGGCCTCGACCACCGGACACCACTTCCAACCCACCGCCCATCCACACTTGCATCCGCCTCCAGTCCACACACCAACGCCACAACTCCAGTGACTGCAAAAAAGACAACAACGACGAAAACTACTACTACCACCACTTGTATTACACGTGCATGCAGTCGTACGTGGGCACCATTATGCGCAGTAAGCGGCGTTTGTGTTTCAGGAACTGACGAAACAGGAGTCATTGCGTCTACATGGCTGGGCATGCATCTACGGACGTGTCTACACATGAACTGCATTTCCTAATTGTTGTGCCATGTTACACCATGTGTCTGAGGAATCGCTATGCACATACTGTTTGTTGGGGCACGATGCAACACCAAGCGCCCAAAGATGAAGTTTAAAAAAAGAGAGAACGAGAGATACTCAAACGGTTATTCAATGTCTTAATCCGGTTGTGCAGTTTGTGTCAGGGTCGCGCAAGCCCAATATAGTTGCTGATCAAAGCATTTCAATGAACTAGTTAACGTCAGAGGACGATGAGCCCGGGAATTGACAGCCAATCAACAAAAACTTGCCCTAACTGATTTGCGGAGTCTAGACTCGAATGACTTCTATGCCACAAGTTAACAAGCCGTATTAAAAGCACAAACTTGATATCTACCACACTCCAACTACCTCCTTTACACTTTCTCCATCTCCTTCTTCTTCCACCAGTCCAGTCCAGTCCAAACCAGTACAATGCAATGAGCTGCCCAATGGAGCTGAAGCAGTTGTCACTGGCGCACTGGAGCACTCACAAGGGCTCAACCCTCCCCAGGAGGAGGTCTCTGTTTCCGACAAAAATCGACGCGAAGTGTTATAGACCCTCACAACAACAACCAAGCTCATTAACGTGCAAATACAAGTGGTGACGGAGAGTATCCACATCAAAAACTCAGGTGCCTCATTGAACCAAAAAATTATCTTTAACACGCAAAGCCAAACAATTCCATCAAGGCACTGTGCAGAACCATCGAACAGGCTATCGCAAAAAGCCACAAAAAAAATTAACGCGCGCAAGCACTAACGACACATGGTCTACCTCAGCGGTAGACCACGATCAAGAAGAAAAACTGAACGAAGAAGAGACTTTACAAAAACTAAACAAATCATTTAAAAAAATTACTCTAAAAAAACCCTACCGGGAAAAAAACCGCCCACACGCGGACAAAAAGAAGCCATTATTAATACTACGTCTGATTCGCAAGCAGTATGCCCGCCTGTAATAAAGAAGCTGTGTAATCGACTGGCCTTTTATTCCACATTTCTTGCTCATTACCGGATCAAGAAGAAGAAGAAGTCGCCTTTGTCCCTACCACTGTGTAGTCTGATTGATAAATGGCACTCTTGTCAACACGCAGTTGTTGTTGTTGCTAACACTTTCTTACTTCCATTCTCCATAATTGTCGACTGTGTTTGTGACACCGCCATTGCCTTCTGCTTGCAAAATCGCATTGCGGATCTCGCGAACCTGCATGCATTCAAGTCTCATTTCACAAGTTACTTGACACTTGCGAGTCGCCGAATTTGGAGCGATTAACTTCACTTTCGTATGAATTTTTAACTTGACTGCTGTTTTTTTTTCTGGCTTGGTCTTCTTCTGGATTGCTGGCAATCTCTACTCAAACATCGTGTTCAAGTGCCAATTTGTCGCTTCTCTTTTTCTTGCTAGTATTTCAGAATTTATTTCCAACATCCGAAATTTTTTTACTAATACATTGCCGAATTTTTTTTTACTCATCCAGACGATCGTCTATAAATATATTTCTTATCCAGTCGATTGTCTCTAAAAATGTTTCTTATGGCTATCATAAGGCAGATTCAATTTAACTGTGAAATTTTTTGCGTGTGGCATGAAAGGCATGTTAATTTGTTTACTTTTAATGGCAAACGCCTGATTTATATTTGAACAAATAATTCCTGCTCTCTTAGATTTTATGTGCATGCTTAGTCTTTAGAATGTTCAATAAACTCTTTTTCATTAACTTGTAATTTCCTTTCACATTCCGCATAATGCACGGTCAGTATTTTATGTTTCAATTTCTAATGCTGTCTTGCGTTTCATGCTATTGCATTATTCACAGCCACAGACTTCACTGTTTGGCATGTTGAATTGAACTGTCGGAGGCCTGAGTGCTTGACTGTTAAAGCAAAACCTAAAGAATACTGGCTGAATGTATGCAGCAAATCGTACAAACATTTAGGTGAATCTGTTTTGCAAATTGCATTTCCTGCACTTTGACTGAACCAAAATTAGCCATAACGCTTCTGTGCAAATACGTTGGTCAAATTTATACTTT